CAGGAATGGAGATGGGAGTGAGAATTTTTACTCCTTTGCATTAGTTTTAAAAACATATTAATATACCACCAATTCAAAAATGTTTTATTTGGGGGAAAAGCAAAAAGTTAAAAAACACATGAAACCAAAGAAGAAAAATAGACTGAGAAGAGCAGTGGGCCTAGGATGGAAACCCAAATATAAGCAATATCTGGGGCAAAGAAAAGGACACTTTCCCGGGGGGCTAAAAGGAATGAGTGAGGAAAAGAGAGACTGTAGGGTGGTGTTACAGACACCACGAACACAAGAGACTTTCAAAGCAGAAACTGTGGTTAATAGTATCAAAAGCTGCAGAACTGCTGAGTAGCGGCTACTGCCTTTGTCTAAGACTTGTTGGTGGCATGGTGGTTAAGGTGCTGGACTGCCGCACCGACTGCAGTTTGAGTCCTGGACCTCACTTTCCCTCTCCTGCATTCTCTCTCTCTCTTCATGGTGAGTGCATGTGCTCTGTAGTAAATGTAAAAATAATTATAATAATAAAAAAATTAAATAATTCTTTAAAAGAGAAGATTTGGTGGTCTTTTCTAAAACTGATTTGAGTGGTGGTGATACCGTAGGGCTGCATTCAGCAGTTTGAAACGTGAATGAGAAATGCAGAAACATAAGCCAGAACTGTGACTCAACTGAGATCTACAAATGAGCAACACAAATATTTATGGAAAGTTGTACTGACGACATGCAGTACCTCTGTTCTTACACACATTCAAGGTTTTATTCTTGGATCAAACAGGAATATTAGAGAACTGTCCACTCTAACCTCAGTGTTTGGTCCCCCGCAAAGTACATAAGCTGAATTCTACTCTGGCACTGAGGTTTTTACATCTATTAAGAAATGATTACAGACATTATATTGTATTTATTTCAGGGCTGTTATTAGAAAGACTAGAGAAAATTTTACAATAACTTGGATAATTCTGTAAAATTAAAAATTCTTCTAATTTGCTACCACCTTACTTATGGTTTGCTTCTCTATTTTCTTAACGTAAGTTCTTGCATATTTCCACTTTTCCATTTTTAAAAACATGAACCTTTTTTAAAATTCAGAAAAAAAACCCCAACACATTAAAACAAGAAGTGACAGGGACCAGCAGTTAGTGTAATGGCTACATTGCTGAACTCCCATGTAGTCACCCACAGTTCGAATCCCGGATCCAGTGGCTTGAACTCACACAGGGCGCGTGTGCATGCCCAAGATCTTGAGAGGAGAATGGAGGAGAAGGGATTAAAGCATGGCCATCCCCCCTGGGGGGTGATTTCTTGCTTTCTATCTCTCTGTCTCTGTCTTTCTGGTGAATGCATGAGCCCTATAGCAAAAACCTCTCCAAATAAATAAATAAATAAATAAAAACAAGAAGTGACAATAAACAACAAAACTCACCTGAGATTTGTTCATTTTCTGCTTTTAGTGGAGAAGCGAGAGCTAAGGGAAAAGGGAGGGAAAAAGATGTCAGGAGAGACTTGATCTGCTTTGCAGTTCCTGGATTCACCTGCCTGTACAGCTCCATACACAAGATACTTACGTGTCCATGGGTGGCTCCGACATATGTTGAGCTTAGACATGATACTTTTCACTGAGTGAATGTAAACATTTGTTTCTTATTGATTTATTACCAATTTAGGTTCTGTGACACAGAAAAATTAAAAACATGAAAAGATGAGTTTAACAAATAACAGTAATCTAGAGGAAACACTATGGATTTGTCAAAACTGATGTAGGGGAAAAAAAACACCTCAGGCAATATTGTTCATCTGTTACCTAATAACACTTTTATCTCTTGTTACACCATCTAAGAAACCTCTGAAAAAAGGGGTGGGGGTGTTTAAGGCGAGGTCATTTTATTTTTTAAATGTACTAACTTGCTTACCATTTCTCAAAAGGATTTTTTTCCAATAATATGAAGCCGATTTTGATCTAACAGTGACAAAGCAGTGGCTCCAAAATCTACAAACCTGGCTTCTAATCTTGGTTCTGTCACTAAGAGATTGCACGCCTTCTAATACTAGTTTTATTTTCATCTTTCAATAAAGTCAAAACTGATAAGCCCCAAACGACCTGTATGCACTACCCTCCTGCGGGTTTATAAGGCCAGAGCATGAACCTCAGCATCGCTCTAAAGGCCAAGGAGGATGGGACACCGAGAGCTGCTGGCCAGGGTGACGAGTGGGTATGAGGAGTGTGGGGAGGTTCAGGTGGGGGTGACAGTGTCCTTGGCTGTGGCCAACGAACCTTTCGTCCACCATGCCCTCACAAACTCCAGAGGTGACGTTTCCGGTGCAGCCTGCAGCCCCCCTCTGCTCCAGCTCACCTCTCTCTTCTTAAACTTGTCCCAGACCTTCCACGGGAACACAGCCTTCAGCGGTTTCAGGATACTGTGTCATGATTGTACATAATAAACAACAAACGAACAAAGAAACAATAACTGGGGATCGAGGTAACCTTAGGGCAAATACGGCCCCGGCGGCCAGCCAGGCTGGCCCTCCCTCTCCCACCTCGGACACCGAGGCCCCGGGGGCCGCCACGCTCCGGCAGGGGACGAGGGCGGTCTTCCCG